AAATATAATAATTAATATTTACATAACAATAATAATTTTTTACATAAAAATATAATAATTAATATTTACAATAACAATAATAATTTAAAGTTCATAAGTCAGTCTTCTTCTTAAACATCTTCTTTTTCTGTTTTGTTTGTTCTGTAATATATTTTTTATATTTTTTATTTTAATTATTTTTTTATTTTATGTACTACATTTTAAAAGTAAAATTATAATAATAGTTAACAACATAAATATATTTATACAAGGATTTGTAAAAAAAAAATACATAATATCTATTATACATTGTCTGATTGTTTTTTTCTTTATACATTTCTACAAAAAAAAATAATATTTTTTATATATTAACTTTTAACAGAAGCATTTTAAAATTTTTTTAAATAAATATTTTCAATAATATTTTTTTTTTAATTCATCTTTAGATAAATTTTTATTTTGTAATTTTTTTTTTTCCTATTATTAATTCTTTTTGTAAAATTATTCTCTTTAATTTCTTCACATCTTTTACAAAAACATCTGTAATAAGTAGGTGCCCATGGTATAGCATTGAATTTACTAATAGATAATTTTTTTTTACAAGTTGTACAAAACTTTTGTAAAAAAAACAAAATAAATTTTTTTTTTTTGTAGAATAATATAACCTTTTTTATTAATCCATATAATAATTTTGAAATTCATAAGAAAATAAATATTCTACCCAGGCATCAAAAGTTACAATTTGTTTATCAATTTTATTATATAATTCTTTTTTTTTTAATTATTTTACTAGTTGTTTGTCTATTAAATAATATTTGTATTAAATTTTCTTTATTTCCAATTTGTAATACCTGTTTCAAAATATAAAATGTTGTGTGTTATTTCAATAACATTATCATCATTATTATTATTTTCTAAAATTTTTTTATAAAGTTTTTTTAATTGAACATAGTCAGAAGGAGTATGAATAATAGGATCAGGTGAAAATAAGAATATTAATTCAAATAAATTATTTGATAGTAAGTCAAATAAATCTAATTTAATACAATTTTTTGTTGTATATATGACCTTATTTTTATGGTATAATTCCATTATAAGTTTTTTACTGTAAAATTCAGACATTAAATTTTTATAATTTTTTTTTGTATTATTTATACAATTAATTTCATGAAACTGATATATATGTTCTCTTAAATCCCAGGGTAAATATTGTATTAATTTCTGAAAATAAAAAAAGTAATATACATTATTTTTTTAAGAAATTTTTAATTCCTGTTTCAAAATATAAATATCTTTGTGTAATTTTATCTTCAACAGGGTGATTTAGATTTTCCATTTGTTGATGATATTTGTTTAAATAAAAATAATCTGCAGGTGTATGAATTTTTTTTCTTTTGGTAAAAGTACTAAATATATGTTCATGTTTTAAAATTGATATTAAATAATTGTTAAAATTTATTTCAGATATTAATTTTTTATTTAAAAATTCACATATTACTATTTTATATTGTGTTTTTGTTTTATTTATACAATTAATTTGATGAAAAGTATAAATATGTTTTTTAATTCTATAGGAAGATAGTGTATTAATTTCTGAAAATAAAAAAAAATTATCTCATTAGGCCTAAAAAAAATAATCTGTGTTTCCGGTAACATCATTATGAAAAATAGGGTCGGTAGGTCGGTTTTTTTTTTTTTTTTTTTTTTTACATTGTAAACGAAATCCGCAAAATTATCATGGTTTTTCCAAGTCCGGGTCCGTAATTAGTTTCAAATACCGGAAGTGCGGCCATTTGCAATGTTTTTAATGCACCTGCTGTGCAAATTTCTTGGATTTTAACCATTTGGAATACCTTTTGACATAAATAAAATGTTTTACTGGCTTTCTGTGCCAGTAGAAGCAAGTTAGATAAATAATCATGTCTATTAACAGAAGCCTGTGTCAAAAATAGGGTCGGTTGATACCATTTTTTTTTTTTTTTTGAAGATCCAATAATTAAATTAGGGTCGGGGCTAAAAAACAGGGTCGGTCGGGTTACCGGAAACACAGATTTTTTTTTCTCGGCCTTAAATAATATGATGTTTAAACATTAATGCATTTTTAAATTGTGCAGCTAATTTTTTTAATTCTTTTAAAAAATGTTGTTCACTGTTAGGTTTTTTACAATTAATAACACAGGTTTTTTTATTATTATATTTAATAATAAGATTATAAAACATTTTATATATATTTTTATCTTCTTTGATAAAAAAAAGAAATATTTTGTAATATAATTACATTATTTGGAGAAATTATAAAGAATTTTAATTCTCTATGTAGTATAATTTTAGCTTTTGTATTCATGGTTATGAAATATTTATATATTTTAATTCTTATTTCAATAGGTAAAAATCTAACATACATCTGAAAAATAAATTTTTTAAAATGAATAATCAACTCTTATATATCCCACAATAAGTCTCTTTATAACACCTAAATAAAATTGAGGAAAACTATACATTTCATAATTAGAAATTTTATTAAAAAATAAAAACTCTTTATTTATTTTACTTTTAAATTGTTTACAGTTAAAAATATGATATTTATATATTCTATTTCTTATTTCCAAAGGTAAATATTTGATATTTATCTGTAAATAAAAAAGTATTTATAATAAGTTAAATCAGTTAGTAACATTTCACTTTTGTAACATTTAAAAAAAAAAATGACAATTCTACATTTATATTTTTATAATGACTTTGACAGTTAATAATATAAAGTTTATAAATTAATTTTCTTATTTCCAAGGGTTAATTTTTAATATGAACCTGTAACAAAAAAGTAATATTAATTAATATTTTGAATATATGGATCTTGAAAGATATCCTATAGGTATTCCTTCTTTTGTATAAAGATTAAGACCTCCACCTAATACAGGTATAACAACCAATTTGTTGTTTATGAAATTTAAAAAATGATGAAGATAATAAAAATTATTAATAAATAATACTTGTTTATTTATTTTACTTTTAAATTTAATACAATTATAAATATGATGTTTATATATTATTCTTCGTATTTCCAAAGGTAAAGTTTTAATATGAACCTGTAAAAAAAAGTAATATTAATTTTTTAATATGAACCTGTATAATGATAAGGATGTTTATTAAAATTAATAATTTTATTAAAATTAATAATCATTGCTATATGCTTATTTATTTTACTTTTAAATTTTATACAATTATAAATATGATATTTATATATTAAACTTCTTATTTCCCAAGGTAAATATTAAATATGTAACTGTAATAAAAAAAAATAATATTAACTATATTTAAAAAAAATCAACATTATATTCATTATGATAATCATCATCCTGCTCATCATCAAAAATTAAATTTGAAAATTTAAAAAAATTTGAAAAATTTAAATTTAAATATTTTTTTAAGATAATAATAATTAAGAGATAACTGTATTGTATTTGAAGCTTTGCGGACGTCCATCGGTAGTTTTACTGTCGCAAATTTAGTTTACCTGGCGACGCGTAGCGGAGACAGGTAAACGGGTATTTGCGACAGTAAAACTACCGATGGACGTCCGCAAATCTTCAAATACAATACAGTTATCTCTATTCTAATGCAAAACAAGTACATAATTCAATTTCAATCATTATTTCAGTGTAAAATTCACATTAAAGAAAATTCCGCGAAAAGATGTTATCTTCTTTGGCCCCTAAACTAGGTGACGTCATAGGTATGCTTCCGGCGTCAAACGTAAACACCGGGCGTTTTCTGGCTGCTTGGCCGCTTCAGAATGTAATTAAATTTGATAAAAAGAAGATTTCTAAGTGCAACATGTGAGTTTTTTTGCTTATCATTGTAAAAATTGCATGTCAATACATTCCGCAATTCAAAATGTCGGCTTCCTTAGTTACAGACAAGGACATAGAGAATTTTACGCTTAGTGTCATCCAATCAGAACCATTGATACAAAAGAATTGCATTAGAATTATTAATAAGTAATACCTCATTATTTATTTTACTTTTAAATATTATACAATTATAAATATGATGTTTATATATTAATCTTCTTATTTCACAAGGTAAAGTTTTAATATTAACCTGTAAAAAAAAGTAATATTAATTACATTTTTTTTAAAACTTTTTTATATATCCTTATATTCATCATCCTCATCATATTCATCCTTATATATTACAGGATATATATCATCATATTCATCATCATATTCCTCATCAGAAAATTCAACATCATATTCCTCACCTGAATTTAAATATCTGTATTTTGAATATGTTTTAAGTTGAGAAGAAGTATTTGATTTCATAAATCTAATAAAGTCTTCAAGATAATAAAAATTATTAATAAATAATACATCTTTATTTATTTTACTTTTAAAAAATGTACAATTATAAATATAATGTTTATATATTAATCTTCTTATTTCACAAGGTAAATATTTAATAATAATATGTAACTGTAATAAAAAAAGTAATATTAATTACCAATTTTTAGTTTCAATGTTGTATTAAATATCTATATTTTGAATATGATTTAAGTTGACAAGAAGTATTTGATTTCATAAATCTAATAAAGTCTTCAAGATAATAAAAATTATTAATAAATAATACATCTTTATTTACTTTACTTTTAAAATGTGTACAATTATAAATATAATGCTTATATATTAATCTTCTTATTTCACAAGCTAAATATTTAATATTTAACTGTAATAAAAAAAAGTAATCGTTCTGTCGCATAACATTAAAATCTTGGTATCTTTGATAAAAACTAGATTGATACACATATTGGTGGATGTTTTGTTAAATTGTAGCAAGCACTCCTGTGTTGATGTCAAATATCAATTTTAGGTTATTGTTTGTTATTTTACTGTTTATCAAATGATTTGATCCTAGGAGACGATGTGAATTTGTTTATCCCAGATTTATGAATCTGTGTACTTGAATTAGCGTTTGACAGTTCTGATTCGAGAACATACTATTAGTATGATTTTATGTAGACGAAACGCGTGTTTGCCGTGTTAAATTAAAAGCCTGGTATTTTTATAATTTCCACAAATAATAATGTTTTTGAGAATTAATAACCTGAACAATGACATTGTTTTGTTGACTGTGAGAAAACAGCCTAAACTAAGTATACCTTGAATAACCGTAAATAGATGTTGGTTTCCTAACTGCACAAAACATTCGTTGCTGTCACCGTATGATTCAAGACATTCCTGCCAAAGACTCATAAATCTTCTTCGACCACCACTTAGACGGTATGCTAAATAGAATTCGAAAATACAAATTATTCAGTTTTGAAATGTTAAGAAATACGCAGTTATTAAATTCTTTACACATTAATTTAATTACTGCAAAAACAGCAATACATAGGTCAATTTGTTTAATAGGCAGTACCAAATTTATACATCAGATGCGCATTTCGACAATCGATTTCTCTTCAGTGATGAAGATAAAAATCCAAAACCGAATACAAACGTTAAAAAGCCCAAAACTTACTTAAACAAGGAAGCAGAGCTATGAACTAGGGAGACACATTCCATTAATTTGTCATTCCAGTCATTTATGATCTCAGTGTATTGTGGTTGCAAATGAACACTACATTGAATGAAACGTGGTATACCTTCAGTTACCAGCCTTTTTATTTTGTTTTTCTGATCTTATCTTTTCGTTTTTGTCCCAATTAAACATATGTTGTCAGCATTATTTTGATACCAATCTTTCATAAACATTAAAGTAAGATAATTCATTGTAGAACATATATCCAAAGAAATGAATAGATTGATTTTTAGATTAACAAAAGTACGATAAGAGCCATTATTTGGCCTCTGAAATTATGTTAGTTTTATTGATAAATGAATAGGTAAATATAAACTGGACTGTTTAGTGCAGAAAGGTCAAATGGGTTGTCACTGTGAAATGTGAAATTGGCTTTATTGAGCCTCGTTTTGAGCTAAAATAACAATTTACACATAGTTGTTGACAAAATAACAACAACCTTACCCAAAATGATTTTACACACATTAACATCTGGATGAAAATACACCTTATCGCTATTTGTCCGCCATTACTGGACATTACACAAGTTCCCGTAAAATTTTGACGTCATAATAGAAAATGTCTGACGCCACAATGGAAAAGTGATTGTTGTATGACGTCAAAAGTTCGAGCGGGACAGATTCTCGGGTCAAGCGGGAATAGCGATAAGGTGTATACATCTTGTAGTAAAATATTGGAGGTAAACAGTCCATAAGATAACGCAGTCAGTTAAATTGTAATTAAAATTCCCCCGAAGGCAGTACTAATAAAAAGGATCGATTTGGATTTGTACGCTATGGCCATTAAAAACGTTTCAACAACATGGCAGCAACAGCATGAAGGCGATAAAATTTTCAAGGTTTTCGTTCTTTTCGAAAATTTTCGTTAAACACAATAAAGCTAAGGAGCATACGACTGTGCGAAAAGTTGTATACCTGGTTTCCGAAAAGTGTAAAAATAAATCACCTTCGGAGACTCATCAGGTAGCACTTGTCTCATATGTTCAAAGCATTTTTAAATATCCAGCCATTATCCCTACTTTATATGGTATAATGTTCTTTAAATGTACAATGTAGACCTAATACAAAGGATTTTCAATGAGATCAAATATATGTAAAATGAATTACTTACTGTTTCCTCCGAAGTAAATGATGCCATGTCTTATTCTCAAATTGACATCTGTCCCATCATCATTGAAATTTCCCTCAAAAACGTGTGTGTGGACATGCCTATGAACAGCAGTTTGGTGGCTGTGAATATGTCTATGAGCAATAAGATGCCTGTGAACATGTCGGTGTACAACTTGATGTCTGTGAACATGTCGGTGTAGAATTTGATGTCTGTGAACATGGCTGTGTACAACGTTGTGTTTGTGGACATGGCTATGAACAACTCGATGTTTGTAAACATGGCTGTGAACAACGTGATGACTGTGTAGAACGTGATGCTTGTGAACATGTTGGTGTTCAACGCGATGTTTGTGCACATGTTTATGTAGAACGCGATGACTGTGAACATGCTTGTGTAGAACGTGATGCTTGTGAACATGTTTGTGTAAAACACGATGCTTGTGCACATGTTTATGTAGAACACGATGCATGTGAACATGTTCATGTAAAACTTGATGTTTGTGGAGATGTTTATGAAGAACACGATGTTTGTGAACATGCTTATGTAGCACGCGATGCGTGTGAACATGTCCATGTAAAACTTGATGTTTGTGGAGATGTTTATGTAGAACGCGATGCGTGTGAATATGTCCATGTAAAACTTGATGTTTGTGGAGATGTTTATGTAGAACACGATGTTTGTGAACATGTTTATGTAGAACACGGTGCGTGTGAACATGTCCATGTAAAACTTGATGTTTGTGGAGATGTTTATGAAGAACACGATGTTTGTGAACATGCTTATGTAGCACGCGATGCGTGTGAACATGTCCATGTAAAACTTGATGTTTGTGGAGATGTTTATGTAGAACGCGATGCGTGTGAATATGTCCATGTAAAACTTGATGTTTGTGGAGATGTTTATGTAGAACACGATGTTTGTGAACATGTTTATGTAGAACACGGTGCGTGTGAACATGTCCATGTAAAACTTGATGTTTGTGGAGATGTTTATGTAGAACGCGATGGTTGTGGACATGCTTATGTAGAACTTGATGCCTGTGAACATGTCCATGTAAAACTTGATGTTTGTGGAGATGTTTATGTAGAACGCGATGGTTGTGGACATGTTGGTGTTCAACGCGATGTTTGTGCACATGTTTATGTAGAACGCGATGACTGTGAACATGCTTGTGTAGAACGTGATGCTTGTGAACATGTTTGTGTAAAACACGATGCTTGTGCACATGTTTATGTAGAACACGATGCATGTGAACATGTTCATGTAAAACTTGATGTTTGTGGAGATGTTTATGAAGAACACGATGTTTGTGAACATGCTTATGTAGCACGCGATGCGTGTGAACATGTCCATGTAAAACTTGATGTTTGTGGAGATGTTTATGTAGAACGCGATGCGTGTGAATATGTCCATGTAAAACTTGATGTTTGTGGAGATGTTTATGTAGAACACGATGTTTGTGAACATGTTTATGTAGAACACGGTGCGTGTGAACATGTCCATGTAAAACTTGATGTTTGTGGAGATGTTTATGAAGAACACGATGTTTGTGAACATGCTTATGTGGCACGCGATGCGTGTGAACATGTCCATGTAAAACTTGATGTTTGTGGAGATGTTTATGTAGAACGCGATGTGTGTGAATATGTCCATGTAAAACTTGATGTTTGTGGAGATGTTTATGTAGAACACGATGTTTGTGAACATGTTTATGTAGAACACGGTGCGTGTGAACATGTCCATGTAAAACTTGATGTTTGTGGAGATGTTTATGTAGAACGCGATGGTTGTGGACATGCTTATGTAGAACTTGATGCCTGTGAACATGTCCATGTAAAACTTGATGTTTGTGGAGATGTTTATGTAGAACGCGATGGTTGTGGACATGCTTATGTAGAACTTGATGCCTGTGAACATTTTTTTTTAAACAGAAAAGGTTATAAGAGTAAATATACTTTTTTATAACTTTAACTTTTGTTTTACAAACATAATTTCTTTTATTTTATTTTATTTTAATATTATATTATTTTATATTATTATAGTTTATTTTATATAATAAAAGCATGTTTTAAACCTTTACATATAAAAAAATATAAATATAAAACGGAGCTTACATAATTTCTTTTATTTAATTTTAATATTATATTATTTTATATTATTATAGTTTATTTTATATAATAAAAGCATGTTTTAAACCTTTACATACAAAAAAATATAAATATAAAACGGAGCTTACCTTTCTTACGTGTGGTTTCCTCTGGTTCAAACTTTGAATTGAAAAGATGTTATTGACAACAACGTTAGGTAACTATAACGTCACGTGACGTTAACGCGACGTTATAATACGTGCTCAACACAGTCGGAAAGCAAGCCCTTAGAAACGACCGTTGTTGCTACTTTCTTAAGACAACAATGGGACTGATATTAAAACCCGCCATTCTGAAATTGCGTTAATTTCGCGGAAAAAATAATTTGGCGCTAATTTGGAATTTTTTTTTTTTTTCTGTTTCTTACTTGCCATTAGGCTCAGAAATAGATTTCTTTCGATTTTTCAAGTATGGTTCTTATTTTCAAAGAAAATAATACTTAAACATGTTATAAATTGTCCGTCTTTTAAAAATAACGTAATGCCTTTGATCGTCGTTTAAGAATTATGCGAAATTGTCTGTTATTTTTTTCTTCTTTTTTTTCCAGATAAACAAAGAATATACAAATATATAAAAAATTAATAACAAGTATCTCAAAGTTAAAACAAAAATCAAGTCTAACGTTCTATCATCCCTTAGGAAACCCCGTTCGAACTAAATTCCAAACGAAAGACATTTTTTGACATTGTAGTTTTTTTTATCTTACACATCGATGTCAACTTGCATCTTTACACAATGTACACACATTTAGCGTGTTTGTTTGAAAAAGCAATGGCGAGTTCAGCTGTGAATATTTGACTGGATTAATTATTCTCTTTAAGTCAGTGATTTGTTTGACTTAACTAAAACAAGGTAAGGAAATCGTATACTGTCTTTACACAACCTTAACCAAAACTCATTCATCGTTTATAATATTATAAAAAAATTTGTGATGAAGTAATCCTGCAAAACTGCCAAAGGTAAATGAAAAAGTCTTGTCCTAAATATGAACTTAAAACAATCTCTTTCAGACTAGCATTTTAATCACTCTTATTCAAAGCATGTTCATACTGACATGAAGTGTGACTTACTTATGACTTGTGATCTAAAACATAATATTGTTGACTTAGCACTCATAATCTGCTCTGAAATACTTTTATATAAATATAAAAATGCATAATTGTTAAAAAAAATTAAATAGAAGAAGAAAAATATTAGACCCAGTCTTTTTTGTTCTTATCTATTTTCAAGTTCATGATTAGAACCATTTATTTATTGGTTTAGTGTTTTTTTTTTTTATAATTTGAGTCCATTCATTACGACATTAGAATCTGCATGGAATCAGTGAGACAAAATTTATTGTTATATTTAGTTTGTTCATACAAGAATTGCAAACTAATTTCCTTTTATTTCAAATAATGAAGAATTTACATTCGGAATACTTTCATTATGGTCTCGTTTAAGTTTAAATGAAAAAGGTAGGATCAGGTATCAGTAATGAAAAGGAGTTCCTGTATTTGATCATTTTAATCCTGTCTTGATCCATTATTCATGAATATTTTGGCTACCCCTTGTATGATTAAAATAGAAATTTATTTCTGTGTTGAAATAATTTGGTTACAGCAGTATAAATACTTACCAAAATATAAATATTAAATTAACTCTTGGAATAATAATATTATGGCACATACTGACAGAGGGCCTATTTGAGTATTTCACTGAGACTGAGTTCTGAAAAGTGATAAAATGTGTTTCGCTAATTTTTTTGCACATGTCTTCAGTATCAAAATATATTCAATAAAATTATTTTAATAATATCCTCATGTAAATAACAGCATATGGTGCTTAATAGATCTTAATATAATAATAGTTTGATCATGAGAGTGTCAAACAAAGGGACGTAACTCGTAAATTACTATCGGCCCCGCTTCGTCAGAAATATCGACACATCGAAGTGGCACATTTGCGTATTACAGCGTATTAAGTGGCACAAATTTGACATATCATAGTCAAAGTTATGTTACATAACATAATTTAAATTCAGCATAGCTTCCCGAGAAGTTAAGAAAGAAAATTACGATTTTAATTTCCAGTGACCGATTTTTTTGGTCAACACCTAGACTTTGAAGACACATTTTGAGAGAAAAAATTAGTTTAATCCATAATTGAGTGGATCAATATATTCCTTATATACTCAAGAATGTTCACTTAAAAGCAAATTAGTTTTAATTCATGCAAAAAACTACAAATTCCAAAAAACAGGCTTCACTTTTTTTGGTAAAAAAATGCCCATATATGGTAATCACAGTTGAACGGCAAACGCTTTAATGGCGTCTAAGTTCAAGACATTGGTCACGTGATAAAAGGTCAGAGTTTACCGTTTTCTTGTGAACGTGTACACCTCTTGGTTTTTTACCTCGTATCGTCTAATTGTAACTCGTACATAAATAAAACTTGTAGGGTCCAAATCTTGAGTGAATAAGCTTCATTATTATGTATACTTATTTATGAAAGGTGTTATAAAAGTATTCTAAAACAACGATGGAAGTTGGAATTTTTTTTGGAAAATTTGCGTAGGTCTACGGAAAATCCCAAATCATTTCTTAAATGGGTTTGGTAACGTATGGAGGGGTATAAAATATGAAGTAAAACCATTTTCTGCATCTTATATATTAATTATAGATCATAAATTCCCCGGATACGCAATTGTGTCAGCTTATTCGTGGCGAAGCGGAGATCAACGGGAGATAACTCCGTACACGCGTCGTAGGAAACTGCAAGTTCACAACAGTAAATTCGAGTAAAATTAATGATTGTAGTTATATTTCGACACTTTCTTGAATAACCATTCAATATTTTATGTTCCTCTACTCTTGTAACATTAAAATAGTCATGGAATGTTTGAATATGGCATTTTTTCAAGTACCCTAAAACAGGTTTTTGAAAACTTCCAAAGAAGAAAATTATAGATAACTGACTTTTCTCTGAAACTTGGACTTATTTGTATATTCTCAAACACCCTTTTGGTAGATGGAATGATACAAGTCTTTGTTTTACTTTCTTTGTATCAATATTCTAAGAAAGGATATGAAAATAAACTCAGTGTTTGTACATGTTGGTTGTTTAGAACAGTTTGTTTAAATATATTAAAACTTCACTCTAAAATTAGACTTGAATTTTTATATTTAAATAAGTATCTAACATAGAAAGTTGTTAATCTGGTGCACTGAAAATGTTCCATCAGAAATGAGATTTAACAAAGTTATTTAGACTGAAGAACTTGTCACTTTTTATGCTGATCATATGGAGAAAAAAGAGTGATATTATAAATTCTAACACAGCATCAATTGTGAAACAATAGTTCTTTCCTACAGACATTTTATTTTTCAAGATGTGAGGCTTGCCGATCAATTTACATATTTAAGATTTCACTGTTAAGAGTGGAAAAATAACTTATTGACAGAGATTCTGTATGGGAATGTTTCTCTTGATATTTTTAAATACATTTATGTTACCAACTACATTGTATCTTTGTTTTTCTACTATGATCTGCAAAGAGATGGGTTCTTTATGTGTGACCTCAATGATTGTCAAGCATGATTATTGGTAGCCTTTATTCCTGATGTAACAATGGAAAATTCTGAGAAAAGCAAGAACTTTTAAGCAGATCCAGGTCTTTTATAAAGAGAGGGTGGATTATTCCTAATTTCCATATACAGAAAAAACATATTTCATTTCATGCCAAATAATTACATACAAGAGGGGTTTATCAGCCATTTGTCAGCAGAACTTGTGTTACAATAGAATTTAACTTTGCATTACATTAAATTACAATATGGAAAAAAAGAAAATGTAGACAATACATGCCCCCCTCCTCTGAAAATTTGCTTGATCCACCCCGAGATAAGAAACTATATAAGATGTACAAGTTCCGTTGCTCGCTCTTAATCAAGAGAAAAAAATCTGAACATCCAAAAAGCCAGAAAGGGATTTAAAACATTATAATCAACACAAAGAAAACTGAAAAAAAAGCTGTATTGCAATCTGATATCATGCAGTTCTCATAATTCCTATTGCATGTATTACTTCAAGTTTTGATTTTTTTCCCTTATATTTGAATTCATAAGTCCTACAAACAACTGTTGAGTCTTTTAATTAAATTATTGATTGAATAATGAATGATTAGCTAAGCTGGTCTGTAAATAAAGTCTGAAAATGCTTTGTTTAAATAAAAGAGTGTTATTATGTCATAAAATATACTGAATCAACTTCAAATTTAATCCAAATTCATATTTAACTGCTCTAAAATGCATAGTCAATTGAACTACAAAACAAAAACCTGAGACTACTATAACAATTAACATAGAGATTGGTCACTTCCCATGTTATAGTAGTCTCAGACAAAAACAAAGCTGACTTAAATACATGTACAGTATGTTCAGAAATTTTTTGAAGAATGGACAACAATGAGATATTTATTTTTCTGATATCAGAAAAAATCTCATAGTATCAAATCAGAATGAGAGTTCTTTTTATTGAGATAATCAATTTAATTGCATTATTTACTTTAATAAAAACCTCATGATAATATCTGAATTTACAGTCATGACTTGTCAACCTCTACACTTAAAAATTTAAGGTTCCTAGGCCTAAATGTGGTTGAAATACAGACAATTTTGGTAACTTTTACAAAAAATCTCTTTTTTATGACATACCTTACAATTTCAGAATAAGCTGCATTAAGTTATATATGTATCACATATAAGAATGCTAGTTTGTATTTTAATATCATGATTATCATGATTATTGCAATATGTTGTTATTATTCAATTAATTAAAAAAATCATCAATTATTTTTGAATTGATAGATCTGGAACTAGTACATACATTTGTTTTTTTAAACATCTATATACTATTCATTAGGGAACTTATTCAAATATATTTTGTACAAGACAGTCATGGCAGTTCACAATTACAGCGGTCATTATAAACATAATGACACAATTTATACAACCAAATCTTATTGTTGATATATGTTAACTGAAATCATTGCAGAATTTTTCTTTCAAATGATTTAATGTTTGTTAGTCACTTACTTTAAATACTTAACCTGTACTAAAATAAAGAGATGTGGTATGATTGCCAATGAGATAACAGTATAGAAACTATCCACCAGAGTCCAAATGTCTGTTAGCAGTTAAATTATAAGTCACTTTACAGACATCAACAATGAATACATTTCATTGTTATCAGGCAGATGAGGAAAAAGAGTAATGATAGCTTTTAGCTTACTACATGTACAAGAGAATATAAGAAATATAATAATATAAATAAGGAAATAATAGAGACAAAAAAGACAGGACTTAGCCACTGGACTATATGTAAAGTGTTCCCTTACTAATCCTTAAAGGAGCTGCTGTATACTTAGAAAAAAGGTTGTTGAGGACTTGGCCACATCAATCAGCATTTTTAGACACTACATTATGGTCGATTGCAATCTGCCCTATTTGCTCCAACCTCTAATGAGTATTAAAATTAATACCTAGGGTGGGAATTAAACCCATGTATGTTCATTTACTCTTTTGTTCTCTATGTACATACATGTACATATATATGAAATATATCAAATGCAAAAAAATGCTGGAATGTAAATATGGTAATTTACATCATGTACATTATTACAGCCTCTTTTTTTAAGGACCTAGTAAAGGAGGTCCATGGACCTAGCTAGACCTATTTCTTAAGCAAGGTGTATTATATAACTCTTGAAAGTAGTTAAATGCAATTGTAAAATTAATTTTATCTGCTGTTAAACAATAATAACACGATAATGGTTATTTCTAAGTATTTAGTAACAACAGCGTGCAATTTAGGTAAACAAACATCAATAATCTACCACGGCACGTGTTTGTCTGCTGTGCTTGAATATTCAAAACGACCCATCGGGTTTATTTACACGAATTTTTGCTAAAGCAGACAGTTAAACATGTCTGTTTACCTAGTAAGTTCTATAAAAAATGCATTTGCTGTTATGACTTGTGTATGCATGGAAATATAATGAACATTACATTGATTATTTACCGTAAATATTGAATACACATCATTCCTGAGCTATACACACAAAACACATGGCACTGTTGTAACGATGGCTGGTAACGTATAGCCACTTTATAACAGTAAATCCCATTGGATAAGCTACCCTACACAGTACATAATATGCAAATTAATGATTGGATACGAATTTGTGTCAGCTCTCAAATCGATGGAAAAATGTAAACATTGGAATCCGCCATTTTGACATAGGAAACAAACTAATTTTGAATCTTGGATTAAAGGACATTGCGCACATTGCCAGCGTATCATGCATAACCAGTCATGTGCAAATATATCTTTTAATTAGTTTTATACACTTACTTTTCTATGTTTTAGTTAATTTAATGTTTTAATTTACTACAGAACGGAACATCGTTCTCAAAGACGCCGTAGAAAAAATTATAGGTGGCGCTGTCTGTGGGCGTAAACATTTTACATACGGGTACTTTTTTTGTCGACAAATTGACCTCTATCTGTCAGATTCAGGCGTTTGCCGTTCAACTGATCACATGACTTCCATTGTTGCTTTAAGAAATGGGGTCAAACCGGGGTCAGCTTTCCGACTGAACAAGTTACAAGGTAAAATAAAATAAGTTCGGGAAATATTTTTTGACGTTATTTATAATATAATAATACCTATAACTTGAGTTACAACAGAACGATTTTAAAAATTTTAGGTGCATTGGAACATGTGGAAAGCTGAAAATGTAAGGTATTTTTTATACGCTATATGTCTCGATTAAATATTTATAATAAAAAAGTTATTAACTCTTATAAAACCTTATTTTTTAATAAAATTTTTTTAATGCAACTAATGTTAATATTAACATACGGGTCACAAGTCCCTAATGCAGAGTGAAATTTTTTTATTTATAAATAAACTATTTGACCCCCCTTCTTTTTCCCCACCCCCCTTTATTATTTCCCTACCCCTAAGTAATAGTACCTGACTTTGGCCTCATTCAGTGACGTCATACTTAAAAAAACAAGGGATTCTGGGAAAAAAATGGCGGCCGCCGCCATTTTTCCCAGAATCCCTTGTTTTTTATGTATGACGTCACTTCCGGAATGAGGCCAAAGTCAGGTACTTAGTATCCAATTTCCAGAAGCGTTGTATTAATCATTCCTTCCATGACAACTCTGATTTGCTCAAGGCGTTTACTGTACAATTTACCGATATCAACATGCTGAAATATTGAAACAATATCTGTTCCAGACTGTGAGTCATCACTGTATTCTATCAATTTGGCAAGCCCCATTCCATAACTTTCTTTCTGTGTCTTTGAATTCTGTCTTTATATTGCCTTGTCGTGCAGTTTTAACAAACATTTAGCATGATATCTGCTCCTGTGATATTAAATCTCCAGCACTGAGTCTGGCTAAGAGAACAATGGTTAGTAGTTCAAGTGCACAGTCACGTACTCTATTGTCGATCATTATTGTCGATGCTTCATGATGATAGTCAGATACCTCCCCCCCTCCCCCCCCCCAAAAAAAAACCCTCCGTGCGGTCATTGTTCTTGTTGATTCATCACAACTGTGTCTGGTTATTTTACTGGTATTTTCAATCGGCGACTCATCTTGAAATTAAGAAGCATTTTTTCGTTTTTCCTGACAAAATATATTGAGATCTGACAATTTGTTTTGACAGGATTAGTACATTTTGCCTTGTGTTTCTGGAGTGTTTCTCCCATTCCATGGCCTTCATCAACTTAGAACAGTTGAACGATGTGAGAAACTAATTCAATGTGCAACATCTTTGTATGCTTACATAAAGGACTCACATGTCTATGTCTGCTCTTTGTGTATCTCCTTGGCATTGTAAATCCTCAGGTGTCCTCTCTTGGCGTCCGAAATATTCCTTCTAGTCTATTTGTTCATTATGTTTTCAGATCCAGTGATTTCAATACCTAAATTTTTTTCTTTGCGACATAGAGTGGTCATAAATTAAATTGTATATAGTTACATACTTTTGTGTGGTAAAAAGTAACTTAGGCTAACCTGCAAGTAAAAGACATTATATTTCTTTAGATACATTTATCTTTGTTGACATATGCATGCCCTTTTTTTACCACTTGGTGAATATCTGATATAATTAGCAACAGTCATATATAAATGATTAGCAAAACTAGTTGTCAATGCATAAAAACATTAGTATAAAGGCAAATAACAATTTAGGATAGCAAATAATGACATATTGGACATTTATGTTTTCAAAATGGCCACCGATACTTTCATATATGAGTCCTCAGGTGATAGTCTTTGTCATTAGTGATGAATATACAAAAGGTTATCAAAATTGGTAAAGTCATTTATTTTTTTATATTTTTTAATAATTATTATTAATTTTTTGGAGGTCATTTCAAAATGGCCGCCCAGAGCAGCCATTTTGATTTTCTGAATTGGGTACATAGCTATAAATGTTACTTATGACCTTAACTAAAACTCTGCAAAATTTGATGCTTTTACCACAATCTGAACAATTGTTTCACAAATCGACTGGACTATTAGAGAGATACTTGATTATACTATTAGGATATGTTCAAATTCACTTTAAAATCGGCATGCTTTCTTTTTATTTGACATAAAAACTTTGACATCAGATTTAAAAGGTTCTTATTTTTTGTTGTTATTTACAAAAAAAATGTAAAACATAGATATAATTATGACATGCCGTTTTACCATTTATTCCAAATTCAAGATATCTTATATAATATATAATATATCTCATAAAATATATTTTATATAAGATATCTTATAAATATTTTTTATATAAGATATCTTATAAATATTTTCTATATAAGATATCTTATAAATATTTTTTATATAAGATATCTTATAAATATTTTTTATATATCTTATATATTTTATAAGCTATCTCATATATTTTATAAGCTATGTTATGTAGTTTATAAGATGTCTCATATATTTTATAAGATATCTCGTATACTTTATAAAATATCTTACAAACTTTATAAGATATCTTCTAAAGTTTATAAGATATCTTATAAATATTTTGTATTTTAGATATCTTATAAAAATCATACTTTATAAGATATCTCATATATTTTATTTTTATAAGATATCTCATATATTTTATAAGATATCTCATATAATATCTTATAAAGAAAATTATATGAGATATCTTATAAATAGTATGAGAAATCTTATAACCATAGAAGATATCTTATAAATGACATAAGATATCTTATAAACTATATAATATATCTTATAAACTATATGAGATATCTTATAAAGTTTATTAGATATCTTGAAGTTAGAATAAATAGTAAAACGGCTTGCCATATACGTATAATGGCTATTATATCTATGTTTAAATCATTTGGCAAAAACTGAGACTACTACAACACTACTACAACACTACTATAACACACCTAAATATAGTAGTCACAGGCAAAAACTACCAATCTAATTATAAACTGTTGACACAGATATATGTCTCGCCTGTTCGCAGAAAATTCAGAAAAGACAATCTGATGGACAGCAATATTGCTAATTAATTCAAAGTCACTGGAACATGAACTCGGTAGGGAGCAGGGCCTCGTAATGGTCGACAAACTTAAATGTACTGATAGTAATATAACATTAAGGTATATAGGTAATCTTATTTTCAGAGACAATTGGCTGTGAATAGGGGGTAGGACCGCGAAATGGTCGTCACACGGGTATGAACCGAAAGAAATGAAATTTTACAGAAAATATCACTGATCTATCACAAGTAGTTCCTATTAAAGTAATTTAAACACAAAATTAACATTGAAATTTGTTTATTAATTATAAGTCGCTCGACCAAGACCTAGGGGCAGGGCGTCGAAATAGTCGTCAAACTGATATGTATTACTAGTAATGCAACTTTATAGAAAATATCAATGATTGATCTATCACAAGTAGTTCCTATCAAACTGAATGGGGGAGAGGGGGAGGGGGGGGGGGGGGGGGGTTCTGAATTAAAACCCATAGATTTTTTAATAACTTGCCAAAATATAGTTCATTTAGTTTCTAAAATATATATAATAAACAGTATGGGTCACGCTTTCTTTTAAGCTACAGGTTGTGCAAAATTGTCAGAATTCTCATAGATCATTCAAGGAAAATACAATTTTGTGTGATAGAAAAAAAACTATAAACCATAGTATGTTAAGATCAAATATGAAAGATAGCTCCAAAAGTGAGCTTTCAAAATATAAAAGGAAAAATAAGGGTCACCGGACTCTTTTTCCTGCTACAAAACTAAATAGGTAAATTCATAGAAAATTCCAGCATAAAAGTTACATTATCTGAGTTATGTCCACTTAAGTGACAAGGTTGAGAAAATTGAATCAAACAAAAAATATTTTGTATTTGTAAAAAACAGTCACAAAAAAAAATAATAAAACGCATAATTTCCTTCATTTAGATGAAAAGTCTACCAAATGAATGACATTCTTCTCTCAAAATTCGCACATTTCATTAAAGATCGAAACCGATTGTTTTCTGATATTTTACAATTAAGATGCGCAGATGATGTCACTCTGGTCGTAAATGATCCTACCAATATGCAAACCCTATTAACAACCGTGGAGAATTACAGTCAACAGGAGAAATATTCATTACAGCCTACAAAATGTAAAATTACTAGTATTAAAACGGGGAAACCAAAATTAGAGGATAAATTTAATTTCACATTAAATGATACACCTATTCAAAATGCTGAAACTGCTGTACATTTAGGAATTACTCACAACAGTAACCCGCGGCAAACCATCCCAATCCATATCCAGGAAAACATCAACAAAGCAAGGAGAACAATATACAGCTTGATGGGGACAGGTCTGCATGGCAAGAATGGCCTTAATCCTGTAGCATGCCTACATTTATTCCAAGTTTATGTGTTACCAGTACTCATTTATGGCTTAGAAATACTATTACCAAATTCTACACAAATGGAACCAATTGAAGTTTTCTATCGGAAAAGCATCAAACAAATCCTATCTATTCCCACTAACACAACAGACATGGCTGTGTATATACTGTCGGGTACGATTCCAGTAATTAGTAAAATCCATAAACTAGCTTTGGGAACTTTTGCAAACATTTCAAGACAAGAGAACTCTATAGAAAGACAAGTCGCAGAAAGACAAATCCTCATCTCAACAGCCGTAAAGGACAGTTGGTTCACAAAAATCAGATCTTTATTAATTAAATACAGCCTACCACCAATCTTTAACATTTTAGATGAACCACCTTCAAAATTAAAATGGAAGAGCTCTATCAGGAAAGCGATTGACACCTTCTGGGTTGAACATGTGGTTACCATGTCTGTCTACCACAAGAGTATTTCATTTATTTCTACATCTAATTATAAAACTGGTCAACTACACAATTCTCTAGCAAGTGTCCAGACTTCTGCAAAAGCCATCCAGCGCCTCCCCATCAAACTTAGACTCCTTACTGGTACATATATTCTCCAATGTAATAGGGCAGCTTTCAACCAAGTTGACATCAACCCAACATGTCTCTTATGTGAGGAGGACGCTGAAACATTAGACCATTTCATTCATTCATGTCCTGCTTACCCCTGTCAAAATGCAACCATGGTTCACCATGGTTACCATCGCTAACCATTGATAACCATGGTCAAACCATGGTTGGATGTGCTGAAAACCATGGTCAACTATGGTTTTCCACTTTTGTGACCATGGTTGACCATCGACCATGGTTGACCATGCTCTAATCAACCGTGGTTGACCATGGTCAATTTGACAACCATGGTTTACTGCCTTTGTGACAATGGTGAGTTTGACAACCATGGTTTTCTACCTTTGTGACCATGGTCTTGCATCTGACCATGGGCAACTTGGCAACCTGAACCATGGTGAATTAAAAAAGATCTGGTTTATATGGGGATGAAGTCCCCAATAGTAGTAGAAAAATCAATAAAAAAAAAATAATAATAATTTCATTCTACATGTACTAATGAACTCAAAATTGTTAACTTTTTATTTTCTAACTTTTTTATTTTCCCGCATTTGTGTAACCCGAATAATTCAGTCGCTATATTCCACTGCTCTACGATGGGAGTGGGAGAGTCGATCACGGGGAGGGACTGAATTATTCGGGTTAGCATTTGTACAGAAATCTCTTTCTTTCTTCTGGTCTCGTTTGTCATGAGACTTTGAGTAAAATATATATTTATCAGTATAGGAATGAGCGCAATAACAATTTCATTTTAATTATCTTTTGATATGAAAAAAAACGT